TGATGTCAGGGGGTGTGGCATATGCTAATGAGATGCTAATGAGTGCCCCTAGCTCTTTTTCTACGAAACGACCCCTGGAATGGATGCTTTCTCTGTATAAGGTGCTTTGAGAGCCAGCTCTTGGCATAAAAGGCAGAAGTATTTATGTATTTTAAATAAACGTTTGTTCATTCATTGAACTACTGCATTATTGGAGCCACCCTGCCCTGGATGGCCCAGGATAGCCTGATCTCATTAGACCTCGGAAGCTAAGCAGGGTGGGCCCTGGTTAGTATTTGGGTGGAAGATCACCGAGGAATTCCAGGGTCACTATGCAGAGGCAGCTGAGCTATTTTGGTGTAGTGGTTAAGTGCGCGGACTCTAATCTGGGAGAACCGGGTTTGATTCCCCACTCCTCCACTTGCACCTGCTGATGTGACCTTGTCGGAAAAGGTCAGTTTATATTCCAATCCCAAAGAAGGGCAATGCCAAGGAATGTTCAGGCTATAGCACAATTGCACTAATTTCACACGCTGGCAAGGTCATGCTCAAGATCCTACAGGCTAGGCTTCAGCAGTATGTGGGTAGAGAACTGCCAGAAGTACAAGTTGGGTTTCAAAGAGGTAGAGGAACTAGAGATCAAAGTGCCAACATTCGCTGGATTATGGAGAAAGCAAGGGAGTACCAGAAAAACATCTACTTCTGCTTCATTGACTACGCTAAAGCCTTTGATTGTGCGGACCACAACAAACTGCGGTAAGTCCTGAAAGAGAAGGGAGTACTAGACCACCTCACATGTCTCCTGAGAAACCTGTATAAGGGTCAAGAAGCAACAGTTAGAACTGGACATGGAACAACAGATTGGTTTAGAATAGGAAAAGGATTACGGCTAGGATGTATATTGTCACCCTGCTTATTTAATTTATATGCAGAGTACATCATGCAAAATGCTGGTCTCGATGAATCACAAGCCAGCATTAAGATTGCCGGGAGAAACATCAACAACCTCAGATATGCAGACGATACCACTCTAATGGCAGACAATGAAGAGGACCTAAAGAGCCTCTTGCTAAACATGAAAGAGGAGAGTGCAAAAGTTGGCTTGAAACTCAACATCAAAAAAACTAACATCATGGCATCCGGCCCCATCACTCCTTGGCAAACAGAAGGGGAAGTCATGGAAGCAGTGACAGAATTCACGTTCCTGGGATCAAAGATCACTGCAGACGGTGACTGCAGCCATGAAATTAAAAGACGCCTGCTCCTTAGGAGGAAAGCTATGGCAAACCTAGACTACATAATAAAAAGTAGAGACATCACCCTGCCAACAAAAGTCTATAGAGTCAAAGTGATGGTATTCCCAGTAGTAACGTATGGCTGCGAGAGTCGGACCGTAAGGAAGGCCGAGCACCGAAGAATAGATGCTTTGGAATTATGGTGCTGGAGAAGACTCTTAAGAGTCCTTTGGACTACAAGGAGATCAAATCAGTCAATCCTAAAGGAAATCAAACCTGACTGTTCCCTGGAAGACCAGATACTGAAGCTGAAGCTCAAATACTTTGGCCACCAAATGAGAAGGGAGCGCTCACTGGAGAAGACCCTGATGCTGGGAAAGACTGAAGGTAAAAGAAGAAGGGGACGTCAAAGGATGAGATGGTTAGACAGTGTTACTGATGCAATGAACACGAAATTAAACAAACTCCGGAGCACGACGGAAGACAGGAGGGCCTGGCGTGATGTGGTCCATGGGGTCGCGAAGAGTTGGACTTGACTGTGTGACTGAACAACAACAACAATATGCAGAGGCAGGCAATGGCAAACCATCTCTGTAAGACTCTTGCCTTGAAAAGCCATACGTTGGCTGTGACTTGACAGCCCTTTATCCACACACATGCACGCACGCACACACACGTTATTGGGGCCAGCGTGGTGTAGCAGTTCAAGGGCCAGACTGGCATCTGGGAGATACAGGTTCAAACCCCTACTCTGCCATGGAAGCTTGCCAGGTTACCTTGGGTAAATCACACACACTTGGCCTAACGTACCTCACGGGGCTCTTGTGAGGATAAAATGGAAGCAGGACGAATCTTGTAAGCCACTTTGGGGTCCCCATTGGGGAGAAAAGTGGAATACAGATTAAGTAAATAATAAATGAACACATGCCACTGAACAATTGATGATATTTTGATTAATAATATTAGTCTCTGGTATGTTCTAATTCATTCTGATTCAAGAATCAGGAATGGCAGGCAATCTTGGGATTTTCTTTCCAGCTCAAAACTGCAGATTGGTTTCACCAGTGGACAGGGCCGGCCCCAGCTTATTTTGCACCCTAGGCGAGGATCCCTTCTGGCGCCCCTCCCCCAATGCGCCCACCAATTTTCAAAAATAAATGCATTTTAGGAAGAATGAAAAACACAAATAATCAAGAAACGTCCAGAGTACGGGGCCGGGTTCAGTTTGGCGCCCCTAAGGGCCGTCGCGCTCTAGGTGAACGCCTAGTTTGCCTAGTGAGGGAGCCGGCCCTGCCAGTGGACTGCTTCTGACTCCTCCTGCCAAATGTTCCAAGAATTATACTCCATCTGGCCAAGACCAAGAGGTCTGGGGTCATGCCAACAAATCGGATTCTCACCCAGATATTTTGAGCCTTGGCTCAAGAAAGCCAGCTGTGACCGCTAAGGGCATAATTCCTGTGACTGCTGCACCCACTCCCACCCATCAGCGCCTCTGACCTCTGATTCTCTTCCAGCAGCTTCTGGATTCGGCTGGTGACCCCCAGCTCCATCGTTTTCAATTGCTCCAGCAGCTTCATGCGCTCCACTTCCAGGTGCTGCTGGTGTCGTGACAGCCCCTGCTCCAGCTTCATTTGCTCCTGCAGCCAAGAGGAAACCCACTGTACTTAATTAAATCAGTGGAAGCACCATCTCTCCCATGCAAACTTTCGGAATTTTAAGCTCTGCAAGAGAAGCCTGGCTTTGGATTCCACCTGTTACCAGAGAATGGGGAGGTTTTAAAGCTTTAATAAAAAACGGATTTGCCTTGAAGCACATTACGATTTATTGGTCCCTTTAACCTAGAGCTATCTTGATGCCTGTCAGTGAATGTCCAAGGTATCAGGAAATGTCCTTCCTAGCCTGGCTACCAGTTATTCTTTGAACTGGAGATGCTGAGGATGTCTGCTTATGTATACATATGTGTATATGGATCAAGATGGGTAGCTGTGCTAGTCTGTCTGTAGCAGCAGAAAAGAGCAAGAGTCCAGCAGCACCTTAAAGACTAACAAAATATGTGGCAGGGGATGAGCTTTCATGAGTCACTGCTCACTTCTTCAGATACAGCTAGATTGGGAGTCCACCTGTCCTCTTTACCAGAAAATGCAGTGATTTCAGATGCCAAATGATATTAGCAGGCAAATGACAATAGCGGGTATTGTCATTCACCTGCTATTGTCATTCACCTGCTGTTGTCATTTGCCTGCTACTGTCATTCCGCATCTGAAATCACTCCACTTTCCAATAAATAGGACAGATGGACTCCCATTCTAGCTGTATCTGAAGAAGTGGGCAGTGACTCACAAGAGCTCCTACCCTGCCACAGATTTTGTTAGTCTGTAAGGTGTTGCCGGACTCTTGCTCTTTTCTACTGCATATGTGTACATGGTTCTTTATGGAGTATCATTGGCCATCTCTGATTGTAGGAGATTACAATCTAAATGTGGACAGAGGGGCAGGGACTGTTCCCTCTAAGCTGTGGAGTTTTGTGAGCAAAAATTCTACTTTGTGAGCTACCGGCATTAAAGTTGTGAGCGAGCGATTTGGCTACTGCATACATTAGTCTGCTCTGGAGCCATCCTTCCTGAGCGAAGACAGAAATGTGTGAGCCGGAGGCTAAAAAACTGTGAGCTGGCTCACACTAACTCAGCTTAGAGGGAACACTGGCAGGGAGGGATAACAGGCAAAAGGGAAGGGAGAAGGAAGCAGAACATAAAAAGAGCTCTAGTGGATTGGACCAGTGGTCCATCTAGTCCAGTATCCAACAGCATCCAAACAGATATCTTGAAAGGCCCACAGGCAGAGATACAGAGGCCAAAGTCTTCCTTTGTTATTGCCCCTCAGCAACTGGTATTCAGAGGAATGCTGCCACTGAGCAGGGAGGTTCTATTTAGCCATCACCTATCCTCCACGAATTTGTCCAGTCACAACATCCTGTGGCACTCAGTTCTATAAGTTAATTATGTATTGCGTGAAGAAGTATTTTGTTTGGTCCATCTTGAATCTCCTATCAGTCAATTTATCAGTGTTATCTCTAGTATTACAGGATACAGAGAAAAAGAATGGAAGAATCAAGGGAAGAGAGAATGAACACAAGCCTCATTACCGCCTTCATACTCTGGAGGATTTCTCCCTTTTGGGTTTGGTTCTGCTGCATCAACTGCGCCTGTTCCCTCTGCTCCACATCTAACCAGCGTTCAAACTCCAGTTTCTCCTGCATTTTCTGCTCCTGAGAGAACAAAGAGCCTTGTCAACATATCCAAACCGCCCTGGTCACTACCCAAGGTGTGGACCAAGTTCTCCCAAGAAGCAGATGAGATGATAAACTTGCACTGGGATTGTACCACTTCAGACTGCAGTGCAGGTAGGGGCTGGCATGATTGTATTTTTTTTAAAAAAACCTCACAAATTAAAAAACTAGCACATCAGGTAGAAAGCCAGGCAAGAACTTCTGTCCTTGACATAATGGGACTTTTAAAAAATGCACAGTGGTATATTTTTTGTATGGAGAAGTATTACTTCATACGAGGCCTACCTGCAGCATGATGTGGTACAGCCCAGATATAAGTTTCCTTCCTCATTTGTTGCTTGTGAGAACTAAGCCAAAGTCAATTTCTGCAGATGGTGAAACCCAGAACATTTAGTATGGAAAAGCGTGATTTTTCCACCAAAGAGCTCAAGGTGATATATGTAGTTCTTCCCTCCTAGATTTTGTTTTCAAAACAATCTTGTGATGGAGGTTAGGATGAGTGACTGGTCGCCCAGTGAATGGGGATCTGAACCCAGCCGTTTGCAGTCCCCACCTGACACTAGTCACTCCCTCACACTTACTCACTTGCCCCGCCCTCTCACCTTTTGGGCAGTCCTCCCATTTGTGACAGCAAACCAGTTCAGGAGGAGAAAACAAGCAGACAGACAGACAAGTAGAGACATGGTACATCGCCCCACAAGATCTAGATAGCACTTGTTGATGTGCAAAAGTCTTTAGTTTTATCTATTGCTTCCATTTCCAAGTCTAGAACTTGTCTCAGATGACCACCTAGCCGAGGGCTTGACAAAAGTTACCACTCCTCCAACCCTGGCTCTGTGGTTTCTGCACCAGAACAACTTCTCCTCTGCTCTCCTCAAGAGCTCCAGGAGAATTTGTCCACAGGGGATGGCTACAGAAGGCTTGGGCTGGTTTGCCACAAAGAAGGGCTAGTCAAAGGAAGACTTCTTACCTTCCGCTTCTCATACTCCAGAAATTTGTTCTGAAAGGGAAACACAAACAGAAAAGAGAAGTGAGCTTTCATGGGCATTCTGAGATCCAATGTGATGTAGTGTTTAGAGTGTCAGACTAGGATCTGGGAAACCCAGGTTCGAATCCCTACACCGACATGGAAGCTCGGTGGGTGACCCTGGGTCAGCCACACACTCTCAACCTAACCTCCCTCACAGAGTTGTTGAAAGGGTAAAACGGAGGTGTAAAGTGCTTGGTATAAATTAAGTAAATTGATAAATTAGGGCCGGTTGTTAGGCTGTTCTTATGCTGTGAAGCAAAAGTGACCATTTCTGAGCCAGAAAGAGGAAGAAGAAGAAGAAGAGATTGGATTTATACCCCGCCCTTCACTTGGAGTCTCAGAGCGGCTTACAAACTCCTTTCCCTTCCCCTCCCCACAACAGACACCCTGTGAGGTGGGTGGGGCTGAGAGAACTCTGACACAAACTGCTCTTTTTCAAGGACAGCTGCGCCAGAGCTTGTGACTGATCCAAGGTCACATCAGCAGGTGCAAGTGGAAGAGTGGGGAATCAAACCCGGTTCTCCCAGATTAGAGTCCGCACACTTAACCACTACACCAAACTGGCACCAAACCACTACACTGCAAAAAGAGCACACTGAGGGCACCTTGCTCAACCACAGAATGAAGCAGACCTGTGAGAGGAGGATAGACAACGACACTCTGACAGGAGCTCATGGACCTCTGGTCTTAGTCCAGTGGGCAGCAACCGTAACTTCCTTGAGTGGTTATAAAGGGAAGCCAAGGCAGAACCCAGAAAAGCTGGGCTGCTTTGGGGGACTGCCATCATTGCTCCTATCTAGCCCAAGGGACCCTCTGCAGTCCCTTCTGTCCTCTTCCTCTGGAGGGAAGAGCCTAGAACAAGACTTCCATTATCGCCACCTAACAGGTTTTGCCCATGGGCTGGATTTTCATTGCTTTCAGTCATGTCGGGAACCTTGGTTGGCTGAAGAACAAGGTTTAACTAGGACATTTTCATTCTACCTTTCCTCCAAGGAGATTAGGGTGGTGTACTGCATTCTTCCTTCTCCATTTTATCTTCACACAGTCCATGAGTTAAGTTAGGCTGAGAGTGTGACTAGCTCAAGGGCACCCAGTAAGCAAAGTGGGGAACTGAACCTGGGTCTCTCTAAGTCCAACCCTCTAGTCCCTAAAACCGTACGTGAGATGGGAGTCAGAAGTCGCAGAGGTAGTGGGGCTCTGGTGCCTTATCTATAAGGCCCACAAACCAGGCTGTGGCCTAGGGGCCCGTCTTCACTCCTTGCCCTCCCCCACTTCAGTAAAATAAAGGCAAACCATTTCTGCCACAGGAGGTGGCGGTGGCTACAAGCATGGACGGCTTCAAGAGGGAATTGGATAAACATATGGAGCAGAGGTCCATCAGTGGCTATTAGCCACAAGGTATAGATAGATTCTCAGTCTGGGGCAAGTGATGCTCTGTATTCTTGGTGCTTGGGGGGGGGCAACAGTGGGAGGGCTTTTAGTGTCCTGGCCCCACTGCTGGACCTCCTGATGGCACCTGTTATTTTTGGCCACTGTGTGAGTGTTGGACTGGATGGGCCACTGGCCTGATCCAACATTGGCTTCTCTTATGTCCTTAAGGTTGGCTTGTAACTCATAACATTTATTCTAAACCCGTTCTTGCCCCCCCCCCCCCGGCAAAAGACTGAAGCTGCATTCTACTAAGCCAAACCACTGATCATGCTAGTACAGAACTGTCTCTTTTGACTGACAGCAGCTATTTAGGGTCTCAGGCAGAGGAAGGTTTCTTTCAACACCTGTTCCTCAAGGTCCTTTAACTAGAGATGCGAGAGAAATTCAAGATGACGTCTGCTATGCAGCAGCACCTGAGTGAGCTCCAGTGAGAGGAGGTTTTAAAGTCTTTAATGACTGTCCTCAATTGCTGTTTGGTGCCTATCTGAAGAACTTCTAGGGCAAAGAAACAAATTGGATGTTTATCTTTTGCTTCTATATCTTGGACTCTGGCTTCTGGGTTTTCTGCCAGAGTGATTGCTCGGCTCCTGCGGAGGTGCTTATCGCCTTGTTATTTACCTAATTACTAGTAGTGTGAAACTACAAAAACCACAGAAGAGGGGAAGGGAACCGGAGAAGGATTTGACAGATCTGACACCAAAGCAGGCTAAGATTGGGGACTACTTTGAGTCACCGAATGCTGTCCCCCAAGTTCTAACTGCAAACTGTTTTGCTTGTGTGGTTTTTTTGCACAATTAACAGTTTTATTTTATTCCGAGAAAAAAACAACCAGAATATAAAAGTATTAACATTAATAACAGCAAAGTCAACAATAACAACAAGAAACTTACTAAAATAAATAATCATTCAAGATGTTTTGGTAGACAATGAACACTGAACAAAAAAGACAACAAACAATACACGAGCTCACCATACTTTCTGGTACAGTCTGATATAATGCAACCTATCTTATCAGTAAAATGCAAAATCTCTATATTTTGGGGGTAGCTTATACTCTTGCTTTTAGTTTGATGACACGTAGTCAAAGAAAGCGAACCATTTATCCATGAAGTTATTTACTCGTGTCGGGTTGTCAGATACTAGTAACTGAGTCGCCAACTTATCAGAGACTGCAATATCCCATACTTTTGCTATCCAATGTGTCAGAGTAGGTATTTTAGTTAATTTCCAATTTTGTGCTATGAGGTATTTTGCAGCCATCAGTAGTAATGATAATAGTTCAGAGGCCTGTTTGGTCAGGGTTATCTCAGGCCAATAATGTAGCAAAAGAGATTCTGGAGAATTAGGCAACATATGGCCTGTGATCCTTCTCACTTCTTCCAGAACCTTGATCCAAAAAGTGTCAATTCTAGGACAAGCCCACCAGCAATGGATAAGTGTTCCAGCATTGCCACATCCCTTCCAACAGAGGGGGGTGGGCTTATATCGACATTTAAGTAAAAATTCTGAAGTGAGATACCATCTCGCATACAGTTTAAAATGTTGTAACTTTAGGTTTATGGATTTACTAGTAAACATGCAGGAATTCCACATTTCTACCCCGTTTTTGCTTGTTTAAACACGGATGTCGAACCTGAGCCGTTTCCCCCAAGTTTCCCTTTAAGGGAGCCGCATGATATAGAAGCTATGACGGAGACAGCAGGTCTCAATGCAACAAATGAACCATCAGCTGACTTATTGTTACTTACGGCAAAACCAGTTGATTTCACTTTTCAACAACTTCGACTCTTGCACTCCAAGATAGATAAACTATTGGCTGGGAGCAGGAAAGAAACTCCCCCCCCCAAAATCAGGGGAGCAAGGAAAGCCATATCCAACCTATGATGTGGGGGAGCAGAACTAAGTCGACCGCCCTTTACCAACTAACTTGGCAGCCGTGCCAAATTTACCTGTGTGTTGGCCATTATAAAGGCACTCTTCCCTTGAGGAATACAAAGACGGTTGCCAGATGGCACCTGAATGAGCTGTTTGGGAGACGCATCAGGCACGTGGATATGCAATCAGCAGAGCTGCTGAATAGCTCTAAACAGAGCCAGAGAGTTTTGCTAGCCTTTTACAGCCCTACAATACCGAGAATACTACCCTGTAATAAAGAATGGCTGCAGACTAAAGGCATCTTCTCACTTTGTGTATTTAAAAACTAGAGATGCCAGAGACTGGCTGCCACTAGTTGGGAAGATTCTACTGGGAGAGATGTTCCACATTCCTGGAGCAGCCCCCTGCTCACCTGCCATTCGGCTTCATTGTTCGCATATTTACAAACTGTCCTGCTGATCCCATCCACCGAGGTCTCTCCTCCATCGCTTTCCAGCACCGGAAGTAAATACTGGGATGGGGGGTTATATTCAATTCCGGATTCTAGAAGGACAAGGAGTGCAACACGTCAGACTACAAACCTCTGTGAGAACAGGTAAGGTTCAGAGCTCAGAACCAGCCTACTGGACCAGGGAGATCAAGATGCAAACGTCTGCAGAGCCATGAAACCCACAGGGTGGCCTGAGAAGACTGTGAGTCTGAGCTCTCTTATGGAGTAGTAAAGAGAAAAGGGGATAATTCCATGTTTGCCAACATCACGCATAAACAAACCTGCCCACCCAAATTAAAATACACAGCTGAATGCCCTTAATTTGCCCCAGGGCACCTGCTGTGTGTTATCAGGAGTGATTTGAAGCTGAACATGTGAAACTGCCTTGTATGGAGCCAGAGTATTAGTCCATGTCACTCAGTATTGTCTACTCTGGCTGGCAACAGCTCTCCAGTCTCTGACGAAGAAGCTCCTTCCCAGTACCTGAGATTCTTTAACAGGAGTTGCCAGGGATTTAACCTGCTTAATTAAGGAATCATCTAGCCCAATTCAATGGGACTTAGATCCAAGGACATGAGCGTAGGATTGTAGCCCTATGGAGAGAGAACTATTTCCGTCTCTTTCAGTAGTGCCTGATATGTCTTCTCAATACTGGGCTCCATTTCAGACTCTGAAGGTTCTCAACCTTACTCACCTTCACACAAAAACTGCTGGATGGCTTCTGTGCCAGCGCTGCAGATGGTGTCCGGGGGATAGGTCATGGACGAGGCGTCCAAAGTCATCGTCTGCAGAACATGAACACATACAGGCGGAACTGTAGCTCTCGGGTTCTGCCCAACCTTCAGATCAAACCAGATCCTAGAAAGGCCAGCACACCATCCAGGGTACAAACCTCAAAAGACACACATCAGAAGCTTCAGCTGATTCCTTATGCGGCAGCATTACTGCTAAGCTGGGCTGCTTCTACTGTGAGCATATTCAGTGGATTCTCAAGCAGCTACGCTGGCTGCCACTTTTCTTTCGAGCTCAGTTCAAGGGCTGGGACTTACTTTTACCAGCCCTTCATGGCCTTCATCCATGAACCTGAAGGACCGCCTCTTTCCATATGAGCCTCAGACCCTATGAAGACCAGCCCATCAGGCCTTACTGGCAGTACCACTCCCCCACACTCTGCAAGCAGGTGAAAATGATGCGGACCAGAAATCAGTTGGAAAGACAGTGAGAGAAATTTTTAAAAGGAAATATTTTCCAACTTGGTTGGAATTTCCCCTTGTGGGTTTCACAGCATCCTGGCAAGCAAAGAAACAAGCCCACGCCAAACAAGAGACTACCCAGCTGTACCTCAAGGGTCCGGATGTGAGCCAGTGCCTGGGGCAACACCCGCACCTGGTTCTCACTAATATCTAAGGTCCGCAGGCTACGTAGGTTGCTCAGACTAGCAGGCAGCTCCTTCAGCTTATTGCCTGCAGTGGGAAGGGGAAAAAAGATAGATACTCATTAGTCAGTACGCCATGGGATACTTAAACTGGTGGGAAGCTGTTTCCACATACACAACATAAACATGATCTATGTCATGGATGGCCAACTTCTTCACCCTGAAGAGCTGGACCTTTCGTGCAAAGTACTGCTTTCACCTTGGTGGGCATCTTGTCCAAAATAAGAAAATTACCCAGAATCCTCTGCATTGTGGCAGAAGTCTCTGGGACGTCATCTCACTGAGTGATGAAAAACCTCAGCTAGGTTGGAAGGTTTGCCAGACAGGTGCAGTTCCCCAAGTGAAGTTGCTTGAAGGAAGATGCTGGCCAAGCAGCTGCTTCCAACTTGGGGAAGTTCACAAAGAAGGAGGCTGAGGCCTGGACCTGGACCATAGGCTGTAGGTTAGCCATCCACCCTCTAAAGTGGATTTGTATACTGGGTATGGCACACAGCCATCACTCTTCCTATTTCACAATTGTGCATATAAAACTGCCTAGACTGAGACAAACCACTGCTTGCTCGGGCTCAGTATTGTCCACCCTCCCTGCCAGCCGCTCTCCAGCAGAGGAAGAACCTTCCTAGCCTTGCTACCGAAAGATAATCTAATTAGAGATGCCAAGGACTGAACTTGAGACATGGGACCTTCTGCAGGCAAAGCTGTCACTGAGCTACAAAAGCCCTTCCACTACATATATGAAGGTACCTTATACAGGGACCGTCCGCTGGCCCATCTAGTTCAGCATTGTCTTCTCTGACTGGCAGCAGCTCTCCAGCGTCTCAGGCAGAGAATGGCTTCCCCATCACTTGTCACCTGAGACCCACCAACTGGAGATGCCAGGGACTGATCCCAGGAGCTTCTGAGTGGCAGTGGAGCTCAGGCAGGAAAGGACTTTTCCAACACCTGTACCTGAGATCTTTTACATAATACCCCTAGATTCAGTATGCCCCTTAACCATGGAGCTAGTGGATGCCCTTTTACTTTTTCTGAACTGCTCTCCTCAGTCTGTCAGAAGGACCAGTGAAGCTGTCCATTCACTGGTTTAGGTTTCAGGAAGCTGAGTGTGGTTTCCCTCCACCCCATGCACATATCCAGAGATGTTTCATCCTACCTTTCACATTGAGAGTCTGCAGCTGGACAAGATCCCCTATCGAATGTGGAAGTGCCTTCAACAGGTTCCGTTCGACATTCAGCACCTACAAGAGCAGAGAGAGGGGACTGGATACGTTGATCTCTCGTTGTCTATAAGGTCCAGGCCAGGCCCGTGGTTGGCCACACCCAAATCCAGGCCTCAAGGATACACCTCCGGTTCAGTTACCGCCCTAAGCTATAGCGCCAGGTGCAGCAAGCAAGTGACACCGCCATGCTGCCTAGGCTACAAAAGGCCCCTCATACATTCACCAGACCTGGCCGATACAGGGGCTGACATCAGACACTCTTTTCCTGTTGTGTCTGAAAATCAGGGCCAGGATTAAAAGCAAGAGTGGGTATCTGCCCAGGCCCAAAATGTGGCAGAGGACCTGCAGCTGAGAAGAAGTGCTTGGCCCATTTACTCTTGCTGAGAATGGGAGTTTACTGCAGAGGCTCTGAAATACTGCATGGACCCTGGAAAGATCTCCCACTTCCGGTCGACAGGAGGCTGGGGAGGTAGTAGAGCACAATTCTTTGGCAGTCCCATTGATACTGATATGGCTTAAGGGAGCACAAAGGGGCTACACGCCTCTTCTTACAGATTTCCTGTTGGAAGAGGAGGCAGTGACTGGGACGCTTTTATATTCCTTTACACCAGCCCAGCACTGACAGGGACAAAGGAAGCACGAGAAAGGGACATTCAGCTCCTTCCTACAGGAGAGAGTGGGCACAAGCATGCACAGGAGGACAGCAGTGTATTTAGTGGTCAGGGCAGGGCTGCTAAAGGGCATCTCACCCAGGCTTCCCTCCACCCCAGACTTGGAGCCAGCCCTGCGAAAGACAACTCTGAGGCCTGAGCAGGCAGAACACAGCAACTCAGTCAAGTAGGTCCCCGACAAAGATCTTGAAGCTCTCACGCAGGCTCCTGCATACTGACTGCTGTCCAGCTTCATGACGCGGAGCAGTAAATGAAATCCCAGGAGACATTCCTTCGACATTCCACACACAGCAATCACACTGGCTGGCAGAAACGTTTCTGAAAAGACTTGCTAGGATGTGGCTCTTTCTTTACCTGGAGAGTTGTCAGTTGACCGATATCAGCAGGAAGTGAGGTCAGCTGGTTGTCATGGAGATCTAAAACCTGGAAGAGGAGAAGACAGGCAAAATGAAGGTGACCCACCAAGGGGCCAAAGCAACAGGAGAAGATGATTTGATGGTTTAGCTGGAAAAGGGGACACACTTTGGTGGTGTATCAGGGGGAAAGTGGACATCATAGTATGGACTGAGAAGCAAGAAAGGAGCTCAGATGACTGTCCGGCTCTTTCTCCCAAAATACACAATGGGGCTCTGTGCCTTCTCCTTCACTTCCAGTCCAAGAAACCGGCACTTAGCTGACTCCCATTCCCCCTGCCCCAAGTAACATGCAGAGCAATCCTACTGAAGTCTGCTCAAAAGAGCTTACTCCCAGGAAAGTGTTCTGCGGATTGCACTGTTAGTTACCTTCACAGTTATGAGATCCAGGAGACGGCAAGACTTCGGGACCAGAGACATCAAGCAATTTGTATGAACAATCAGCACCTAGGAAAGAAACAAAGGCGGCATTTTTATAGTGGAACCGAGAGTCATCTTGGGGCATCTTCTTTTTCCTCCTCACCAATTTATAATTAGAGAGAGGAAAAAGATGCTGGAATGTATGGACCACTGGCTTGATTCAGCAGGGGTCTTCTTATGTTCTTATTGAGAGAAAAGAAAGGAGAGGAATTGACAACAAAAGGGGGGGGGGAGAGAAAGGAGGCACAGAATTCTCCCCAGTGGAAACAGTATCGGGACTGGTCCATAAGAGCATCAGATTACCTTCAAATGTAAGACCTGGAAGATGGTGTGGCACAGTGGCTTGGAGAACAAGCTGTGATCTTGGAGGGCCCCAGTTCAAGTCGAGCCACTGTCACAAAGCCACTGGGTGGCTATAGGCAAGCCGCTCTCAGCCTCAGCACCCCCACTCCCCCATTTGCAATGTGGCCTGCCTGATAAGATTGTCATCAAGCACTTTGAACTCTGAAAGTTTTCAGAGTAGCTTGTTTTTAAGACTGCATCCAGGATTCCTCATTTCTCCAACAAAACTAAAGATAGGCTGATGGCAGCATGAAGGAGTTTAAGAGGAGCAAATAAAACAAAGCAAAATCATTCCACTTTCAAATGACTTTGGCCAGACTCATGTGCTGGGTCAGATACTGTGCCAGAGGGTTCCCAGACTCACTCTGAGGGGGTACGCATATGCAGAGAGCCCAAAAGGTTCCCATGTGCACACGGAGGTCACCTCTGTATCCCTTACCTTTTTCTGCAGGACTTTACAGGTTGAAAAGACTCCATATGGAAGCTAAAACAGTAACACAAAAAGAAACCAAGTCTTGGTTAGATAAAATATCATGAAAATAAACATAAAGAGAGTCACTTTCATGGCTTAAGACAGCTGAACTTAAATACCCTGCCTCCCATATTGAGAAGGCAAGCAGCAAGGCAATATGTGTGCATGGGGGGAGGGAGAAGCAAGCAGATGGCTGGGAATAACAGCAGCTGAACACAAGAATGAACCTTATACGGGATGGGATTGCCTCTCCTGGTATACCCCCCAAAGAGCATTAAGCTCTGAAGATAAGAACTTACTGTTGATCCCTGGCCCGAAAGAAGTCCAGATGTCATCAACCAGAGCCAGGGCCTTTTTGGTCCTGGCCACGACCTGGTGAAACTCTCTGCCAAATTACATCTGTGTCCTGTGGGACCTTATGCAGTTCCGCAGACCCCGTAAGGCAAAGGTGTTCCGTCAGGCTTATGGTTGAGGATAGCGACAGTTTCCATCTTGCCTGGCACTCCCTTTCTTCCCCTCCCCCCATGGTATAACCTGTTTATTTTAAGCGCCATCTGAAACAGTTTTGAAATTGTCTTAAATTGTTTTTGGTTTTAACTGTCTTATTGATTAATAAATGTGCTTTTATATTGTTGTTCACTGCCCTGAGCCTTGTGTTTACAGGGGAAGGCAGTCTCAAAGTCTAATTTAGAAATAAATAAATATAAATTATACAGAGCCGGACTGCTGGTCCATCAAGCCTTGTATTTTTTGCTCTGTCTGTAGTGGTGTTCCAGGGTCTCAGGCAGAGAAAGGTCTTTCCCAACAGCTGCTACTGGAGATCCTTTCACTGAAGATGCTTTGGACTGAACCGGAGACCTTCTGCATGCAAGGGAAGTGCTCTGCCACTGAGCTACAACCCCCTCCCACCTTGTCTCCTGATGTCTTGGTTCCTGCTTTATGAGTGAATAACAGGAATGTGCAGCCTCCAATCCGGCAATCTTAAAATAATTTTCAATGTTCTGGATGTTTCCTCCAAAAAAGATTTCTATACTGATCCCAAAACATATTCTGAAAGCAAAACCAGCTGAGTCTTTAGTCCTTAACAGCTACCTGCCAACTCTATCTTGGAAAATCCCTGGAGATTCTGGGGGAGGGAGCTGAGTGGGGATGTGATGTCTTAGAACCCGTCCTCCGAAACGACCGTTTCCTTCAGGGAAACTGATCTCTGTAGTTGGAAAATCAATTATACTTTCTGGGGAACTCCAGGCCCCACTGGGAGGCTGGCAATCCATTCATGGCCTTGGCTTCCCAAATCCAGTCTTCCCTCAAACCACTGACCCACCATGTGGGAATCAGCACCATACCTCTGAAAGTTCGCATTTGGATATATCAAGGATATCATCGGCGCCGGCTTCTTTTGCCTGAAAAAGAGAGGGGGGGGGGTTGAACAGCTGCAGAATCCAAAGGTCATTTTTACTCTAAGATTGTTGGCCAGGGGTCTCCAACCTTCTGGAGCCTGCAAGTACCTCTGGACTTCTGACTAAGGGTGGTGGGCACAACTATAAAATAGCTGCAGCAGGAAGTAAAGCCAACCACAAAAATTGCTGCCATGGGAGACGGAGCAAACCACAACGCGTCAAGGAGTGAAGTTGTGCCTAACTCTAACGAGAAGCAGCTCTGTTTCACAGGATGCCTTTAAAAATTAACATATGGTTTTAAAATGTTTCCTTGCAGACAAACAGCTTACTTTCGGTCACTCGGTGAAGACCTGTGTGCTGCCGTGGCCTCTGCTGCCAAAAGCACCTTTAAAAAAAATCCGCACAGCCAATCAGATCTCCAGGGGCTGATCAGAAGCCCTGCTGGGCAAAAGCCCCACCTGCCTCCATCCACTTTCTAAAAAAAGCCTTGGTGGGTGCCAGGAAAGTTAGCACTGGGTGCCTTGGTGCCCTCAGGCACCACACTGGGATTCTCTCGTCTAACCCAGAGTTTTTAAAAAAGAGTTCAGTGCAAGTGAGCACTACCACAAGTCCTCCATACAGTTTCCCAGTTATAATGGTATGCTTCAAGCGCCACCTATGTATGATCAGGTTCTGGCTCCTTGCTGTTTTCTTTTGTGCTTGTCTTGTCTCCTACGGGGAGTGAACTGTGTTCTAGTTAAGTTAAAACTTATATCTCCAGGTTCCCCATGACAGCTCAGCCAAATGGGAGGAGCTTTCCCTGGATTCCCACGCATCTATCAGCATGTACTTGACTGCCTTCCTCCCTGGATGCAGCTCAAGCCTTTTATGGCAGAGTTCACGGAGGTATGTGTACTGTCCTAAGGCAAACCGTTTCCCATTCATTACAACAACTACCTTTTGAGGCAGGTTAGGCTAAGAGAATGACTACCTCGCTGCCACTCAGTGTGCTTCATGGTCCAAGAAGTTTGATTCACGCAAGTGAGAAGTGAAATTAAGAATGTTGAGTCAGATCAGTGGGGCTGTGAAATCTGATAGCATCCCTAGACACTGGTACCAATCTCTTTTAACAGAGGCCATTTTGGAAGCCTACCCAGGAGGATGGCGCAGCAAAGGCCACACAGTGTTGTTACTCCAAGGTTTTGAATAGTTACAAGAATGGGCACAGTAATAAGACCAATGAAAAAAGGAAGAAGAACTGTGACAATTTAGCGCTTGGTAATATATTCATAAATCATAATATACAATAACAGAAAATAAGTAATATATATAGTGAATGTAGACGGTGGTCTCCGGAATGGTGTGCCGTTTCGACAATGATCTTCTTCTGAACAAGGGTGTGTACCTTATCAAATATAACAATACAAGTCTCATTTAAAAATAAATATAACAGTGTGCAAATATATAATATGAATAAGTATAAAAATAGTATGAAACTTTACAAAAACTGTCTTTCAACAATTCATTTCTCTTAGTGACGTATTGCAAATATACTGTTGATTCTAAAAAGTACAACAATAGCTGTTACAATACATTTTCATTGTTATTCAATAATAATTACATCACTCCACATACATAAATATTAATATTTTAAATAATTGTAAAAACACTCACCACTTCATCATGAGGCTATGCTTACAGCTATGTTCTTCAATGGGCTATAACTGCTGAATGCCTTAACAGGTGGATTCTATGTAGGCATTATATCCTGCTGGTCTGTTTTTTCACACTGATCCTGTTACTACTCATACACAAGTACACAAATCACCAACTCCTATGACAATCATCCATGCATATAGGTACAATAAAAAGCACTAACCATCTATAAGTGTTCATAAGTAGCATGTCAAATCCAGGGATGCATTCAATCCAAATGGATAAACAGTGTTTAATTTAAAAATCCAAAAGGCTTCTCGCCGCAAGAGTGTTTGTCTAATATCTCTTCTACAGTAATTGCTGGTCTGGATCACTTCTATAACTACAAATTTAAAATTGTCATATCTATGACCCATTGAAATAAAATGGTCCATGAGGGGGGCTTCTGTATGTTTGTGTTTAATTTTGAACACTTATAGATGTTATATTTGATAAGGTACACACCCTTGTTCAGAAGAAGATCATTGTCGAAACGGCACACCATTCCGGAGACCACCGTCTACATTCACTATATATATTACTTATTTTCTGTTATTGTATATTATGATTTATGAATATATTACCAAGCGCTAAATTGTCACAGTTCTTCTTCCTTTTTTCATTACTCCAAGGTTTTGGCCAGTTTCCTTTCTTGGTGGGACTCGTCAGCTCCAGGGTCCTGGCAACTACTCCACCTTGCCACAACCCTATTCCCCAGGGCAACTTACCAGGTACATTTGATATTCAAGACGCTTGCGGGCTTCATCGCTGGGTTTCCTTTTACGGAAGAAGAGCAGCATCTTCCTCCTGTCTCCCTGGATCTCGACTCAATGCCTGAAGATGGTCAATGGAAAAGACAGGTGAGCCAGAAAGGGAAGAGCAACAAGAATTTCTGGATCATCTCAATATCCGTCTGACAATTACCTATCTTGTCAGACAGGTTCTGCTTGATAAGCACCTCCTCGAAGCTATTTCAGAAGTACTTCTCAGCGGAACTCCCAGCCTTGCTTATGTGTTAAAAATACTTCTGCCAATTCACGTGGGCAGGAAAAATGCCTAGATCAAGTCTCATATTTTCTATAGATCTAAGAAGGAAGAGCTTCAATCCCCCTGCCTCTGTACTGGGAAACTACATACTTAAATGCCATATTATAAGAACATGAGAGAAGCCAATGTTGGATCAGGCCAATGGCCCATCCAGTCCAACACTCTGTCACACAGTGGCCAAAAATACCAGGTGCCATCAGGAGGTCCAGCAGTGGGGCCAGGACACTAGAAGCCCTCCCACTGTTGCTCCCCCCAAGCTATTATACCTGAAAGAGGACCAGAAACAATCCAGGTTGTTGGAACTGCAGGAGGAGTCAATGGAGACCAATTCCCTAGAAAATATGGCTTGACAATTAAAACATAGCTGATGCCTTATAAACAGCCCTTTCATTTTCACTACGTTCCAAGTGTGGAATCACTGAAGAAAGCATTACTCACTAGGGTGGCCAGGTCCTCCCTGGCCACCAGCAGTGTAGGGGGGAGGTATGGTTAGTTTACTTCAATGATACAGCTTTACCAGCCTAAGGACCATGAGCTGAATCACAATAAAATCCCCTGTGATAAAATCACTCAGTCATTTTCGATTGATCATTACCCTGGACATTTTTTTGCAACTGATCTTTCTTATATGCGTGAGCAGCCCACACTCTAAAAGACAGTGCTCCAATGTGTTTATCTGCCCCAATGCACAGAAGCATGTCCTATCAGAGTAAGGCCTATTACTATATCGACCATATAATAACTGAGATGGAATTGCATTCAGCCACGATAGCATAAAAGCTGTACCGTAGCGTGGCAGTTAGGAAAATATATATATATATACACACACACACATATGCAGGAGGGCCTTGCGGATACAAAAGACTCAAGCAGACAGGGGAACAAACCCTTCGAGCTCGCATACATAAGGTAAATAGATCTAATTCAAAAAGCCACTTGGCTAAGGCTGTTGATTCCATAGGCAGGGAAGCAGGGTTGCCAGCTCCAGGTTGGGAAACTCCTAGAGATTTGGGGGTGGAGCCTGGGGAGGACACAGACCTCAGTGGAGTACAGTGCCGCAGAGTCCACCCTCCAAAGCATCCATTTTCTCCAGGGGAATTGATTTCTGGAGTCTGGAGATCGGCTGTAATTCTGGGGGATCCCCAGGTACCACCTGGAGGCTGGCACCCTTATTACTTACTCATTTCCCCCTTCGTAAACCAACCTAACGAGGGTGAGTACCCAGATCAGTCACTTTTCAAACTGGTGTGAATGCAAGCTCTATAGATTTTGTGATGTCATATATAACAGAATATATTGCCAGAGGCTCAGAATTAATCAAAAATGAAGGGTTCATATGTGCACTGATATGAACATTTGCAAGTGGCACACAAGTCAGTTCTTCCTTCTCCAGAAACAGTTGAAACTGGAGCTGACTGCCTTTGGAAATTAATTTTAAATAGAACTGCCCACCTCATAGGAGCTGTCTCCTTATATCATTTACCAGGATCTTACGACTGGAAAGAAAAAAACAAATTACATGAAGGCACGGGAACAAGATTTAAGGGAACAGTTCAGAGAAGATGTTCATGATCAAATATAGCAATCATCATCTCCCTTAAATGCAAGATTAATTAATGTGAAATAAATCACAATAAAAGGGAACCGCCAACAGCACTTAATGCCAAATAAACTCAAATGGTGTTCACTGACCAACTCTGATCTGTGCTGACAGAACTGTGGCCGGAAGGGTAATTTATTTCATAGCTGGTGGGCCTGCCCTATGGTCCTGAAAAAATGGAGTGACGTCTCCAACACAGAGAATGAGTCATTGAATACATTCTAATACCAAAAGACCCTAAAATTACCCTTCTGAATTTCCAGCAAGTGGGAACTGATCTCCTCTCTTTTAACAGATGCAAGAATGCAAACCGCAGCACAGTGGAAAAGTAAACAATTCCCATCAGTACAAAAGTGGACTGAAAGAATATGGGATCATATTCAATAAAATAACGACACAATGAGATTAAAGACAGTAAAAGACCTATAAGCCACTTCCTTTATGTTTTCATTATACTTGGAACAGGACTTCTATATATTTGTTTAGAAAGGCATTCTTTCTTTGTTCTCAATACATTACAGTGCCATCTCATGCAGAGTGACTCCAGGCTAGGCCCCTTGATTACATTGGGCTGAGGCTGGAGTATCTTTGCATAGTATGGGACTATAACAGACAAAGGGAGCCCTGACTCTAGAAAGCTTAAACCCTAAAAATCTCTTTGGTCTCTAAGTTGCTACTGGATTCAAATAGTACTGCAGACCAACACAGCTACTTCCTGAAACTGTAACAGAGTTACACCCTTCTATTTCCACTGAAGGCAATGGGCTGCAGGAGGAGAGCAAGAAGCTGCTGCGCTCTACTTACAGAGCTTTTTATCTATTTTATTATCTCTATTTCTTCTCTCTCTTCTGGCTGTCTTTGCTGGCAGCTTATCTTCCTAGTCTTTTTTATTTTAACTGGGATTTTATCTAGACGTGGAAGGGAGGGAAAGTGGAAGGGATTTCCTGGGTTGTGTGTCATCCATGCTCTGCAGAGTGGTTTTTTTTGTTTTGCTATTTTACCTATTTAGTATTTATTTTAACCTATAAGTTCCCCATTAGTTCCTGGAGGATAAGAGTTATGAGAGACAGTTAGTGTTTTGTACCTTTGGTATTTACTCTCCTTGGGACTTTATCTCGTTACGTAGATAACTTGTGCAATGGGTTGCATGCCACGGAGGATTTCTATGAGCGCAACCTAACTTGCACAAAAGTGGAAGTGCCAAAATTACCTCCTTGCCGTCTCCTTTTGCTAAGTGGAAGCACTGCATCCCCACTGTCTTTTCTATCTGCCCAAGCTATAGCATCAAGGATTTCGTCTGAAACAATTTCAAAACATAATTCAATATCATCTGAACCACCTGTTGTCCACTCCATTGCTCAATATGGACACTTATTTTATTAAAAATTATAATAAAACATTGTTGTCGAAAAAATTCTTTGTTGCTGCAGCCGTTGTGCTACTACTCACATAAACAAAACTGAGCTATGTACATTTTTTTCTTGCTCATGCATCGCAAAATCCAATCCAGTGGGCTTAGAAGGGGTATAACTCTGCTTAGGGTGGCACTGTGACTCATGCAATGTGCCCTCTGACACCTTATACCTTGGTAACCTATTTTCTTTTCCTGTGCTCTGATGAAACCATATGATGTATATCTTGCTGGTGTCTCAAAAAAGGAATCAAAATATTGCTTTAACATTCTTAATACTGCTGATGCAGTTATTTGTACATATTCAGAATGTTTTGTTTTATTAACATATTGTGTACTATTTGTATGAATGGATGTTTCTATGAAAAGTTAAATAATTAAGAAAACAAGACTTCTTCCTCTACCTTGTCAACCCTGACAGGATCTGGAAGAAAGCCATTGTGGCGCAGTGTTCAGGGTGTCAGACTAGGTTCTGAGAGACCCAGGTTTGAATCCCCACTCTGTCATGGAAGCTCACTGGATAATTTTGGGCCAGTCACATCCTGGATAAAACGGAGAAGGAGAAAACACTGGAAGCATAAACTTTCATAGATTAGGACCCGCTTTGTCAGAGGAAATGGACTCCAATCCGCAACTTACAACTTCTGTTGTAAGGTGCCACAGGACATTTTTTTTTTATTTTGTTGTTGTTTCACTTTAACATGCTGATGCCTCTGGAATAAATAAAAAGGGATAATAAAAGAACTATGAAGAAGAAGAAGAGGAGGAGGAGGAGGAGATTGGATTTCACTCAGAATCTCAGAGCAGCTTACAAACTCCTTTCCCTTCCCCTCCCCACAACAGACACCCTGTGAGGTAGGTGGGGCTGAGAGAGCTCTGAGAGAACTGCTCTTTCCAGAACAGCTCTGACAGAACTATGGCTTGCCCAAGGTCATCCAACAGCTGCAAGTGGAGGAGTGGGGAATAAAGCCTGGTTCTCCCAGATTAGAGTCTGCCCACCTAACCACTACACCAAGCAGAGACCAATAGCCACACAAAAACAGTAAGCAGATTGAAAAGCCTCTATTAGGCTAAAATGGAAACTAAAAATACTTTGAGAGACTAAAAGCTCCCTGAAACAGTTTTAACATGATTTCAAAAAGTCAGAAGCAAAGGGAGAACAAACAGAGGCCTGTGTTTCATTACACTGGACATAAGGGATTTCAAGTGGTGAGAATCCTGATACCCAACTATGGGCTGCTGGAAGCCGCCACTATAACAACTTAAGATCTTGACAATGGAAGCACTTTATTGTTAAATGTAATGTGTTGATTATAATTTTTATGGTTTATTGGATTTTATGTATGGGCTTATGCCCCTTGTAAGCCGCCCTGAGCCCGCTTGCGGGGAGGGCGGGGTAAAAATGTCCAAATAAATAAATAAATAAATAAAGGTCAGCAACAGGCAGTCCTTGGTGTAAATTGGGGGGGGGGATGTGAGAGTCCTAACCTTGAGGCTTGCCATTATTTTATGAACAAACTAGCCTGTTTGGGAGAGAATCCCAGGAACGTGTTGAGGCAGCTTGTCACACAGGAACAAAGACAGGATGACCCATTGACTACAGGCCACAGGAGGGAGCTTTATGCCTTCAAAAGCAGCATAAACGGGCAGAAATGCAACAGGTGTGGTATTGCTTGGTATGGGCATATAGTGCCAGGAAAAGGAGTCTTTTAAGCAGCTGTCTGGAAGTTAGAAATAATACGGCACAGGCATTCTGCCAAACTAACTCTCAAAACTGCCAGACTCTGAGCCTTTAAATGTTGCATAACAGCAAATTCCCAGCAGGAAGACACAGTGATGGCAAATGCATGAGCTGGTGGATTTCTATCTATCAGGCAGCTGGTAAAGGCATGAGTGCTGCCAAGACAAATGACAGCCCTGGCATGCTAATTTTCTGTGTGTCTGGTTGAGGGGGCAAGATCTGTAAGAGCATTCAGTCTTGTGATCCATAGTGTTGTGGATGAGTTGTAGGTCAATGGTAGAGACCTGCTTTGTACAGACAGTCCAAGCTTCAGTTCTGGGCATCTCCAGTGAAGGGATTTCAGGTAGTGAGAATCCTGATCCTGTGAGATTTGCTGCTTGTCAAGAGTTGACAGTCCCAGGCTAGATGGATCAATAGCCTGGCTCTGTATAAAATACATGCAGTCTGAAATGATAGCCTAGGTAGTTATTTCCCCTTGCCTCAATGAGAACTAGGTGCTTAAAGCATTGCCATCATTTTAAAGGTTAAATAAAACAGGAGTACAGTGGCACCTTAAAAGACTAATAAAATTTATTCCCAAATAAATGTTTGTGAGATAAGAGTTCACTTCCTGAGATGCACACGGGTGTAAATCCATCAGGTCTGTTCTATACACAACAGAAGGGGAGGTATAAACAAACTTGTGCAAAACAAGATCCAATACAAAGAGTACTAACCAATTCACTCAGCATGGGTGTGAGGCATTTCCACCTGTCATTAGATAGGCAAAATAATCAAGTGTAGGATGTAGTGCGATAAAAAGATACAGTAGGAAATTATAGAGGTACAGCTGGAGTAATCAACATCCGTATGTGGTGGGAAATGCAAGGTATTAGAACCTATAGTGACTAAGAAATGAGATATCCTGCAGACTTTGACAGCTGCTTGACACCAACAAAAGCAGGTCCTTGGTAAGAGGTTACTAGCCCAGGCTAGCATGATCTTGTCAGGGTTGGCCCTGGCTAGTATTTGGATGGGAGACCTCCAAGGAATACCAGGGTCATGACACGGAGGCAGGCAATGGTAAATAATCTCTGGTCTCTTGCCTTGAAAACCCTACAGGATCTCCATAAGTAAGCTGTGACTTGACAGCACTATTCACCACCAGTAAGAGTGGTGAAGGTGAACTAAAGGCATTTCAACCTCACGTCCCCCACTCTCCATTTGCCAAACCTAGCTGCACCAGTCTGATTTCCTGTAGCGGAGGATGTAGCCTGTATGACAGGTAGGAATCCAACAGGTGCAACCTTGCCCAGCAATGGGGAGCAGAACTGAAGCAAAGCAGCTTCAGTTTTGCCTTCTCCACTCCTTATTTGCCAAGCAACGCTGCACCCGTTGGATTCCTATCGGTCACATCTCCCTGGCTGACAAAAACTCCGTGAGCTTTAGCCAGCACGGCAGTAACCCAAATTTTGCATCTGGCACACTGCAGCAACTGGAGAGACGAACCCCAGACTCTCGTGGACACACCCAGCATCAGAACAGGGCGGAGGCTTTTGTGGAGCAGCTCCACCCCCCGCCCCCCATGCTGGCTTCAAGCCCAGGACCGAGGGACCTACGAGACACCCCGCCCACGCGGCCGATCCCTTACCGCGCCTCGTACTCACCGGCTCATAGCTACACCTACACCGATCCTTAATCCTTTCTCGTTACCAACAAGAACCACCTCAGGAACTTCCCGGATCCTCCCCGGTCTCCGCCCCCATGCTTGTCATATCCCATGAACACCCTCTCCCTCGCCTCCCACAAAGACTACAGCCCAGAGCGTTCGTCGAAGATAGCCCCAAAGCTGTTCCCCGAAACTAAAATGGCGTAATGAGCCTCGCTGGCTGGAGACTGTATTTTGTCAGTGCCCAAAACAGTCATGGCGGAGAAGGGCGATAGAATCTCACGAGACTGGTACTTGGGAAAACCGTCGAAGATGTAAAATTAGATTGATTGAGGTAATTTTAAACCATAGAGATACACAGCCGTAGAATGTTTTATTAGACACTATCCTACAATGGACTTGTCTACACATCCAACTATTCTGTGGGGAAACTGTACAACATGTAAAAATCATTACAGGAAAATTATTTACCTTTTATTCTGGAAGTTATATTGTTAAGACTACTGAAAAGATCCTTTAGATTAAATAACAAGAAATAGTATCGACTTTATTGTCCATAGCTGGAATGACGATTGCAACTAAATGGAAAGACAGCGCTCCTCCTGCTATTGAATCTTGGCAAAATAGAATATGGGATAATTTTATAATGGCAAAGACATCAGACTCCTTATCTCATTTGGAGTCTAATAGTTATATACCAAAATTTGTAGAAACGTGGTTTCCGATTGTTCAATATTTGGCTGAAAACGATATTATTCCAAAAATCCGTTATATTCGACTAAGTTTTTTTTTTTTTGCGTAGACAGATAATCTTTATTTATAAAAAAGTAATCTCTCTTATATATTTGTTTAAAATTTTGTCTTATATAATGATTAATAAGTATTTTAATATTTTATTACATTTTAAAACTCAGTTGTAATTGTCATAACGGACATTGTTTTGTTTGTTAAAAAATCTGAACACAAATAAAGTTTTTTTAAACAAGAAAGTATCCTATAACATTCAATTGGTTTTCCTCCATACAAGGGATAGAGCACCACCACCACTCAATCAAGCCAGTCTGGGCTTTCAATTTAACACCAGAAGTTTAGCCTGCGCGTGTGTCAAAGAGAAAGGGTTTTTTTTGTCCCTGCGGCAAACGCACGCCTGAGATTTCCTTGGCGTCGTGACGTCTAATCTCGCGAGATCTTAGCGTCTATATGGTCTGAGATCCCGGATGGAACAGTCTCTTGCCATCTTTACGGCAGAAAACTGGTGTCTGTTGGTCATTGAATCCGTTTCAATCCTTCCCGGTGCTTAGCCCGGCACTCCTCGCGACGTCATGCCGCCCAAATTCGACCCCAACGAGATTAAAGTCGGTAGGTGTGAGAGCCCCAGCCGTCTGTTCTTGGTGCTGGTTTCGAGTTAAAGTGCGCCCGGGATGCCTTCCTGTGATTTAGGCCTGGACAACGCATGCAGGCGAAGAAGGTGGGAGACTGGAGTGCTCCATTTCGGACTGCAGACGGAGGGTCCCAGTTTGGAATCTTTCTCCTTTCCAAAATTTCTCTGAGAATAGAAAACCAGCCCAGAGAGCGACGAAAGGGGGTGATGCCTTTCATCCAGCTGTGCTAGTTTTCTATGCGTAGAGGGGTGTTTCCTTTACGCACTTGAAGACTGAAATCCACCACCTGCCGCCCGAAATGGTGCCGTCCACTTTATAGATTTAGGATTTTGCCACTTCATTCCTTTGCATGCGTGAACGCAGAACAAGGCATGTACAAATGTCTAGATTGCACTTCAGGCTGCCTTTACTTGTGTATGGTATTCCGGTTTGTATCGTTCTTGGAATTAGTGGAACGTGTTTGGCTTTGTATTTTCTTAATGTCCTAAGGTCTTGAGTATATCACATATTTGGATTTGTCTTGTATCCTATTTCACTTACACTGCTGCAATAACTCAATGGATGTAAGATGGAAATATGAATTTAAACTAGAGATGTGAAGGCCTGGAAAAATTCGGGGAAAAAACGTGTTTTTTCCGTTTTTTTCCTGAAGCCTTTCTTGTTTTTTTCCAAAAAATTGAAAAAAGAAAAGAAAAAAATTGATTATGGAGCGTTTTATTTTAACATGATGAATAAAATATTTTAAGACAAGGTGTTCAAATATTTTCCAAATCATTTCTAAAATATATATATATGGTATTAGATTGATCTAATTTCTGTGCACTGAGGACAAGCAAGTCCTAGGTTACAAACTGAACTCTCCAATGCAAGAACAAGATGCATTTCTTCCTTTAAGAGGTGCGATTGCCAGAAGAAAATAAAGTTTCAGTTTTGTTTTTGCATGTGGTTGGGTATTCCGTTTGTAATAATTGTTTGGATACACTATATTTTTAATATGCTAGTTGTGATAATTTCATGCCAAGTAAAAATGTCCATAGTCATATTTTATGTTTCTAAAGTAACAGAATGACTTTCAATCTAGAAAAGACAAAAGAAATGCTAATGTAGCATTTTTTTCAATTTTTCTGAAAATTTCCGTTTTTTCCCAGAAAAAAATGGGTTTTTTCCCGAGCTTCAAAATTTCTGGAAATTTTACATCTCTAATTTAGACATATCTGGTTTGAGGGCAAGCTGCACTCAGTGCCCAACCCCCATTCTGTCTAATATGGGGGAAATACGTCAGTGAGACTAATCACAAAATAATGCTGCAGAAGTGCTTTGATTGTTTGAAAGGGAGTACATCTGTGCGAAGAGAGTATATAGCTCAATTTCTATCCTGAATTGCATAGATGGACCCAACCCACAAAATGTCAGTCTTCAAAAACTGCAGATCCTATGAAGCTAAGGGCATTATACATAGATTTTCTTTCTTTTTGACAGTGCTGTTATGCAGGTGATTGTGAGTGGATAGAGGTCACCCTGGGAGCTTTATGTCACAGTAGGGAGGATTTGAATTTATGTCTCCTTAGGCCTAATCCATTCATCATCCTCTCCTATACGGGATTAGTAGTAGAGTGCTGACCCAGTATGAAAGCTTCATAATGCATCATTTTCTAAAAGGAGGGACTGCTGTTGCAAGCCACATTGGTCGCTGTAGGGATTGCTTGACTTTCATAAGGCATGGTTTATGTACTTCATTTGTACCCTTGGCTTTCTCCCAAATTGGGGAACCCAAAGGAGTTTATATAGTTTTCCTCTTTGCCGTTTAATTGTTGCAACAACCCTGTGAGGTAGGTTAGGCTATAGTTCTTCCCATTGCACCTCATTCTGTATACATTAAGAGGTTTTGCTTTCTGGGGTAACTGTCTGTGAGCCGCAGCCCCAGAACAAAGGGTTACAGACCTATGTTGGTGTTCCTCTTCTGACCTTGCTTGCAATTTATTTTTTTCCTCGCAGTGTACTTGAGGTGCACCGGAGGTGAAGTTGGTGCCACTTCTGCCTTGGCTCCTAAAATTGGGCCCTTGGGTTTGGTAAGCCTTTTGCTATTCCTCATTTTGTTCACCTATTTAACCTGGATGCCCACTTTTTTCCTGACCAGCTAGACACATGTCTGCTTTGAAAGGAGGGGCTGAGGGGAAATTTTTATGATGTAATTTCCGGACCAGTTTAATCTTATAAATAGACATTTTTAGACAGGGAAGCTTTTCAGGATATCTAAATGACTTACCAGTATGGCACCAGAGAATAATATAGGTCATGTGGCAGGCTTCTTCTGAAATGCCAGGAAAGGTGGTTCAGTTGCTGGTAGGAGAAAATGTTGCGGACAGTATTGGGGCGGGGGCGGCTGCACCAGATTGGGGTCGCTTTGAGAATTTCCTAAAAGCTAGGGTTGACCACTGGGGAAAGCAGGCCCAAACCGGCTGTTTTTCCGATGGGGTTGGGGCGGAATGGCCACTGTTCATATGCTTCGATTTAGCTACTTGGGCTGGCAGGTTAAAATGGTGAGCTGGGTTTGGTTTACTGTTCAGGCACTGTCCTAGATACTTTGTGTCAGAGCTGCCTTCTTCCTCTGGGCTGAGTGACTTGTGGATCCACAGCTGCCCAACAGAACCACACATTTTGCTGGAATGAAGCCCGTCACGCCTGGTGGAAGACTTTTGCTTGCTGTGCTGCCACTTTCCAGAGCAGCAGCTCTTATTGTGTGCTTGTTCTTCCAGTCTCCCAAAAAGGTTGGGGATGACATTGCCAAAGCCACCGGTGACTGGAAAGGACTGCGAATCACCGTGAAGCTGACCATCCAGAACAGGCAAGCTCAGGTACAGAGAACGCCACAAGGGATGGCTCTGCAGCTGAAGCACAGGGCTATGAAAACGACCCACCTTGCTGGTGCTGCGAGCCGTAATCCTGGCAGGGTCAACTCAGCCCTTCATCCTTCCGAGGTCGATAAAATGAGTGCCACACCACTTGTTGTGTGGGAGGCTTTGGGGACTGGGCCTCAGAAAAGCGGTCCCCCAGGAATGGGATGTTCAGATGGCAGCAAAGGCATGCTGGCTTTCTGGGTTTAGCCACTGAAGTGCTGCTTCTTGATGAGAGCATCCAAATCCTGGGATCTGGTGATTTATACGGATGGCAATGAAGGGTTTTGTGACCTGGAGCTATAAGCAGCCTAAGCAGGTCTGGTCTTGTCAGTGCTGGATGCGAGACCATTTCCGGTCCCAGAAATTCTTTGGACTTTGCATTGTATTTTGGGCCATAGTGTTTTCCATATGCAACTCAAACCCCGGAAGGTAGATCAGTCTTGTTGCTCCATGGGTTGCAGATCAGAGAAGGGAGCTAGGCTCCAAGGTTCACTGGGTGATTTTAGGGTGGAGGCAAGATTTGAACTTCTTTCTTTTTTTTTTAACTGCTGCCCTTTTTCTAGAGTTCACAGTAGTGCACATTTGTCTTCATTTTATCTTCTCACCTAACTCCCAGGCTGGTACTGGCTACAACCAGCCCAAGATGCTACTGTAAAATTGGTCATGGTTCAGAGGAGTTTGAACTGTGGTCTCTATTCCAGCATTCAACAATTACATCATGTTGGCGGGAGAGACTGAAGTCATCTGCCACTTGCCTACCCACTGGTGGCTTGCTGCGTATTTGCCTTAATTTAACCTTCCTTGCATGTTATAGTTGGGTAGTATATATGTGTGTCTGGTGGTGACTCCTGCCAGATCCATTCTTCCTGAGCTGCAGCAGGTTTTTGGGAGTTGAAAAGGGCAATGCTGAGTTAATGGGATGATGCCTTCAGTAGAGATGGCCATTGCAGAGTTGCTTGACTTAAAAGTGGATCAAGAAACAAGAGAATCCCACAGGTTTTTTTTAAATGCCCACATCCCCGATTTGCTTTGTAGTCTGGACCTGGGAGAATGGTGGGCACTGAGTTGTACACTCTGTGCAGTGGGATGGTGCCTTACAGTTGTGGCCCCCACTGTCTTGTAGCCTTTTAGCTTCCTTACAGCCACCCGCCACCATGCCTTTCGTGCACCAGTGACTGGCATGTTCCAGTGGTAGGCTGAGAGCAACCCCACCTTAGGAAGCAGAGCTCTTCCCTTTGGCCATGGTGAGTTCTGTGCCGAAAAGTTGGAAACACAAAGATGGTGGTTTGGGGGTGGAGATGAGGGACAGCTTTGCTGCCTGTTTGTGCTGTTACAGTGTTAACTGACAGTAGCTCTCCTGCTCCAGGCTTAAGGTTTGCACTGCTTCTGGTTCCGCTGGCTGCCAGTCATACTTATCATTTCCTTATGAAACTGGACTCCAGCAGCTGTGAAGAGCAGCTGGGAAAGACAGCCATGATGGCAGAGGCATTGTGTGCAGTTGGGTGATGTGGATTGTGGACCAATGACTGAATATGAAGGACTAGAGATGGTGTTGTAAGGGACCTGCTAGGGAGGAGGGCAATTGGTCTTTGCAGAAGACGTGTCCTGACCAAATGATGGTGGGCAGTATCCCACCATTGGCTGGAGGAAGGCTTTAAGCTTTGCCAAGTAGAATGGTTGACTGCAGGCCATTGGCCAGCTTCTTCACCCTCCCTCGCCACCAGTTTAACAAGACTCCAATTTGGTTTCTGCCCTCCAGATTGAAGTGGTCCCATCAGCCTCTGCCTTGATCATCAAAGCTCTGAAGGAGCCACCCCGTGACCGCAAGAAGCAAAAGAACAGTAAGTGTCCTTGGGTGGTGCGGGTGGTGTGTGTACCTTGGTCTGGTTGGGTGAAGGAGGCATATGGCTCAGGCAGGCTGGTAGTGCCAATCAGCCCTTCATCTCCTCCAGCCTTAGCTGGGACAGTGTACAAGTTTGACCTGTGTGTGGTCAGGAAAAGTCAACTGACACGTAGACTATTTGCCAGGGGGTGGTATCCATGTTGTAGGCTAAATTTACGTCTGCTTCGTTATCTGTCACTGTTACCAGTCAATCTTGGGAACTGTAGTTCAGCAATGAGAGAATTAACAGATATGCTGCGGAACTATGGAAAGGGCAAAGAAACCCCAAAAGTACTTATTCAAAGTGAGGGCATGGAGGTGAGCCAATTTATTAATGCTTAAAGCCCATTATGGGGAAAGCATGGGCATTGTATACGTAGGGTGCTGTTTTAGTTCCGAGTGCCTTAAATGAACAATGCTGCTGTTTTCTGCACAGCCGTGGGTATGTGCAACAGCTACCCGCCACTGTGCCTGCCTTGCATTCAGCTGTGGCTGGCACAGTCCAGTGGTGAGCTAAGAGAAAAAATCCCATTCAAGGAAACAGGGTTGCTCTCTCTGTGGGCAACTCTGTGCCGAAGACTGGGAACAAGAGGCAAGGGACAGCTGAGGACTGTCTTCCGGGGCAGAATGACTGTGTGTGTTCTTCCTTCATTGCAGTTAAGCACAGCGGCAGCATCAGTTTTGATGAGATTGTGAACATTGCCAGGCAGATGCGGCACCGGTCCTTGGCCCGGGAGCTCTCTGGTAAGGGGCAGAATAACATGCGCACATGCGCACGGCGGAGGGACGTTACAGCTCTTGTATGATGATTGTCAGGCTGAGGAAACTGCCAGTCATCCCATTGATTGCATAGTCCAGTAGTGTCTGCTCACTGGTACTACAGACATCCATGGCTTGGGTCTTTTGTAGCCCTTCTTCCCCAGATCTTTTGAACTGTGCTGCTAACTCCAAGAACAATTAAGACCTCATGTACTAGGTATGCAGCCTAAAGAAAACCGACCTATTTACTTTTATTTTATCTTTACTTAAAACTGCCTAAGGGGTGACCCATGTATGACTACTTAGGTGCGAAAGGGACTGTCTAGCATATTTGACTGGCCCAAAGTCTAGTTTCAACACAGAGTGGGGATTGGAACTCAGATCTCCCAGACAGTAGTTTGCAACTGCGATCTAGAGTAGAATAGATTTTTATACCCTGCTTTTCTCTGTCTTAAGGAGTCTCAAAGTGTCTTACAATCTCCTTCCCTTCCTCTCCCCACAGCAGTCACCTTGTGAGGTAGGTGGGGCTGAGAGAGTTCTGAGAGAACTGTGACTGGCCCAAAGTCACCCAATGGGCTTCATGTGGATGAGTGGGGAATCAAACCTGGTTCTCCAGATTAGAGTCCGCCACTCTTTAACATCTACATTAAGCCTTTGAATAATAGACTGGTTTGTCAGCCTATTCAGTCCTGGCAGCAAGATCCATCTCCTATTTAGTGTCGACTAATCTGAGCAAAAACTCATTACTTGGTGCTGCAGGAAATTGAATGTAGTGTGCTTTCTTTGCCCCACCCAGTAAGAGGTGTTGGGTGCCATCCTGTTTGGAACTGTGTCCTGAAACCTTGAAGCCCTTAATTCTACTGCCAGAAGAGCAGGGATTGGCTGTGGACACTGAGTATTGGCTGCCTATGACTAGATGAGTTCTCATTATTTCCAGTGCCACACTAATACATGTTCTTGACTGAATCCCTGGCTCAAACGAAGGTCCCAGACAAGTAGCCCTGGCCTTTTGGACAGTAACGTAGCATGCCAAGAACTCCCCTGGTGTCCTTGGCTAGAATGCAGATGGATTGAGGGAGCTTGGGTCCTGGAGAAAGGCCGGGCTTTGCTGAACAGCTGGCACAGGTGGCCCTGTCATGAGACAAGGTGTGGTTGCTGCTTGGAGGGGGGAATTGTGGGGGGCTCCCAGATCTGACCAGTATGACCCAATAGACTCTGCACGTTTTGTTGAAGTAAAGAGGAGCTCTCAAGTGGATTGTGCTGTGTCCTCTTCAAGCTCAGTCACTTAACAGAGCGTAGTTGGGTGTTCTATTCAAATTTCACTCTTCTCTGTAGGAACCATTAAGGAGATCCTGGGAACGGCACAGTCCGTCGGCTGCAATATTGATGGGAGACATCCCCACGATGTCATTGATGACATCAACAGTGGCGCGATTGAATGTCCAGTGGTAAGTGCCCATCTGTTCTGAAAGAGGCTGGCAGCCTCACTGGCACCTTGTCTGGGTGCTACACTGAATTGGCTTGTCCTGTTTCTCCCCCCCCCCCCCCCCCCCCCCTCCACAGAACTAAGACTGCAGCCCGTGTGAACTCAACATCGCAAGCTCCGCAGAGCCCTGCAATCCTGTGACTGTTCAGAATAAAGATGCAATTTGTGTCAACATGTCTGTTTTGTTCAGAGGTCTGGTTCTTCGGGATGGGGGGAGGGCTGTGCTTTTCTTTTCCACCTCATGCCTGTACTCGAGATCAGAGCTGAATGTGACATTCTTGGACACTGTTGCCCTTTCACCCACAGACTGAGCTGAGATTAGACATACAGCAGGGTAACCAGGATTTTGTGAAAACAAGAGCAGAATTCTGTACGTTTTTAAATAGTAGAAGTGTGGCTGCTGCCCTGGGTTACTTTTGGAGGAATCAGGGGTGTTGGGTGGGTAAACATGTGAGTAGTTAGGTGAATTTCAATGGTTATGTCCCCCAAATTGTATGATATTTCATCTTTGGCTGCAGCACACTCTAGAAGTCTACAGCTTTAGTTAACATATTTGTGTGCAGATTAAATTTCCGCCTGCTCCCTCTGGAATTTGGAGTCTTAAATTTAAGGAAGCAAGGGTGGAACACTACATTAGCAGAAAGGATTTTGAGAGGGTCAGTTGCCTTACTCATTTCCTTAGTATTTAGAAACCTCCTTGAGAAGCTTCTGTGCTCACATGCACACACCAGTCATTCTGCTGTTCCACTTGCACGCAGCAATCATTCTCAGGTTGGTTTTCTCGACCCTTCTTCCGCTTGTGACTGGTGCAGACACTCAACTAAGAACAGTAGGGAAGGTGCTCTGTTTTTAATAAATTCAGGCTGTATTCATAACATGAGCTGCCTTGAACGCTATATTGAACAGTAGGAGGGTGCCGCAGAATCACAGTGTCGAAAATGGTCCTGTTTCGTGCTTCTTGGGTCTCCTCACGCCTTGGATGTAGAAGCTTGGTGAGCTGGGCAAGCGGGCAGTGTGCCCAGTCTCCACATTGTAAGTGCCAGGCCCTGGTGTGCCATCTGCAAGACAGAATAGAACTGTGGTGTGCTCGAGCTTACAAAGAACTGTAACTTAATGCCCACCCAAGAATAGGATATGGATGCATTAGCAATTAAAGTGCTGGATACATAACACGCAAAACAGTCTTTGCCTTGGTTTTAGCTGATAAAACAGTAGCTCAACGTAGCATACCAATTTCACTTGAGGACCTGAAATCATAAAAGTACCGAGGAGCAATAAAAGAAGTAACCAGAAAGACAGCAAAACAGAATTTTGTAGTTCAGGAGCTACAAAGCCACGTTAGCTTTCATGGGAGTTGGAAGCAGGGCCTTGGTAGCTAATCTTCAATTCCACAGGGGGACTGTACATAAGTGGAAGAACTCAGGTACTAGGCAGCTCTCCCTGAAACTGCATGCTCCCATATGAGCCCTCTTGTACATTAAAATGGGCTAATATGATCTTCCAAATCCCATTTCTGGATAGTGCACAACTGGTTGTGTCCCAGAGTAGTCCCTTTTCAGTTTCAACACGAATTTACATGTGTTTGTGTGAGGAGGACTGGCTATGGTGCAGTGGGACGGCACGTTTTACATGCAAGAGAACCATTGCTTACCTTTGCTTGTCCACTTGTATGTGTGTTGTGGTGCAGGACTGATAATGAAGGATGGAGCTCTTTGTAGCACCTGCTGATAGCTACTTACTGTGTTGTACATGTTGGGTGCTGGTTCATATGGAGCATCTGCAACAGATGGAGGGGAAGGGGCAAAGGGCTATCCAAGCTGGAACAACAATCTAGCAAGCTGTTGCAGTTACTAGAAGATGATCTGAGGAAGCTTTCTGTAAGGCCATGTTCCCCCTGGGCTCCCCGTTTATTGCCTTCTTGAGCAACTAGAAGCACTAGTGAAGGAAGAAAGCAGGTCTGTTTGAGCAGAGACTTCAGTAACATGCCTGTTGACATATTTCATGGCATGCACTTGCTTCTCCAAAGCAAAGGCCCAATCCTGGCTTTTTTCTATACGTCTTAGAAGGTGCTCCAGGCAGCCCTAAGAAGCATTGCCTTCATTTCTACAGGAACCACCCATTATAAAAACAGTTGCCTCCAGTGTGGAACACAACACACACACACACACACACCCGCATCTGCACACTCAGAGATTTTGTCCCCATGGCAGTTATTTTGTTATATTGCCCACTTCCTGCTCAAAATTCCAAAACTGTCCACAGGTTTAGCAAGGTTGGGATGCCTGGTATGAAGGCAGGGGCTGGGTATCTGAGTTCACATTTTAATTTGTCCTTGAAGTTCACTAGGTGATCTTGGGCTAGACATTGTCTCAGCCTGATTGACCCTACAGGCTTGTGAGGATAAAATGGGAAAGCCCATGTATGGTGCTATATGGTAATAGGAGGAAAGGTGGGGGTTTTAATGTGTTAAACTCATAGGGGCATTTGGAGGCAATGCCCCCCACAAATGAGCACCGCCCCCTCAGAAAAAAATTACAAAGGAATATTTTGAAAATGTAAGATGTACGTGGGGCTTCCAAAATGACCTTGAGCAGTCGGGGAAGTTTCAGTCTCATTTTATTTTTCCGGGCCGAAAAATAAATAGGTTTTCCCCTGGATTTCCCACTCCCCACCAACTAAAATTTTCTGGCTACACCCCTGTAGGGTATAACTACCCAGAGATGAATAGGACAGGTAGCTCCTGGTCTGGAGCCTTCCTGGAGAGCAAAAACCCTAGAAAGAATGAATCCTCACCTTTGCTGGTAAAGGAGAAGATGCCCTTCCTTCCAAAGGTGTAGCTGGGACTGCCTGGCCTGTTGGCTGGTTTGGAGTCTGGGGACTGACCGTAGTGGAATGGAGATGGCCACTGTAACACAGAGATGGGGCTGAGTTATGAGATTCCTCGTAGAAAGTATACCTTCCCCTTCCTAAAACTTAAAAGTTAGGGAGGCTGGAAGAATGTGGGTGAGAAATACTCTTCACATTATGGAAGAACCATGCCCAGTGTTTATGCAACTGTGGTTAGTGGAAAGTTACTGTGGCACATAGAGTGTTCAGTTTTTCATTTTTGAGGCTCAGCACATGGTGAGACATTATTTCCTGATCTGCTCTAATGTAGAATTAATTTGGGCTGTATTTAGGAAGTACATGTACAATTTGAGAAGTCCTTGTAGAGCGTTCTAGCACGTGTGAAGCTGTATAGCAAGTGACCCCCCCCCCCCAGCTCTGAAGTTCTGGCCCTTTGTTCCATCTCCGATCTGATTGGGTTCAGCTCAAAAACATCCCCGCCCCTCCTGCAACACATACGTTTGTTTCGCTGCTAAAATCGGCTTTCTTGGTGAAAGGGTTCTTGCTCTGGAACCAGGTTTTCTGCCAGGAACGGCGCCCTCCGCCCTCTGGAGAGATGGAGAAGATGGGAAGAGGTTGCAGCAGAGAAGGGTGTTGCAGGAACAAGAACATGTCTTGAGCAGGGTATCTGGCCTGGACTCCCAACCATCATCCAAAGGGAGTAATGGTCAGCTGATGTGGTTTTTCCACCACTTTGAACACTGATGCTGAGAAGCTTCCCAAAATGAGACTCGTCATGTACGTTTGCAAAACATACACGTTTGCAAAACATGCACACAAGCTGCCCTTAACGCGTTCTATCACGACGCATCAGCAACCAAAGTACAAACAGAACCTGTTCTCTCTAGGTTTTCCGATCTCATCCTATCTGGTTGCCTTGTATCAGTTTTTCCTTGCCCCAGGTGAGTAGACAAGCAGTTATTTCGTAGAATATCATCAGCCTACTGTAGCTTCTAGCAAGTCACTAGTTACTTGGAATCAAACATTTTCACTCCCTCAGTACCTTTAGGAGGAGTTTTCCATCCAAAGGTGTAGGATGGAGCAGTAGTCTCTCTGCAGTTGACACTGGGGGGTGGATAGGCTGCTGGCCCGGGGCTGTCCACGTTCACTGTCAGCGGGGGCCGGTTCTCAGTTGCCCCTGCATAGATCATGACAAGCTTAACTACTGCAGCAAAAGGTAACACAAAATTCACTGGGGGATGCAACTCTTATATGGAGGGGGGATGGGATCCAAGCATCTTGCCGGAAGGGTTCCCACCTAAGCAGATGAGAAAAGAGATTGGCCTGCTTGGATGTTTTTAAGGTGTGTGGCAGAAATTCAAGTGAGGTCAGTCTTGAGTGCCAGTCTCACACAGCTAGTAGTGGTTATTTATTTATTTACAACATTTATATTCCACCTTTCTGCCCACCAATTAGGCCACAAAGGTGGCTAACAATTAAAGCAGCAGGATATAATACATATAAGAAACAGGACAGCAAATAAAACCACATGGAATCATTGAGGGTATGACAAAGAAAAGTCTTCCCCTGCTGGCGGAAGAAATAAACGAGAATAAAGGAATATCCCTGGGGAGGAAAGATGTGCAGGATTAGTGTAAGTACAAATACTTATAAGAGGAGGACTATCACTGAGAAATCCTGAGCCAAAAAACCAACAGGGCGTATTGGAAGGAGTTTCAGGGTGGGAAGCCCCAAATTCAAATACCAACCCATGAAGTTCACTGGTTGACCTCAGCTCATATACTATCTCTCAGCTTGGCCCATCACAAGGCTGTTGTGTTGGGTGGGATGGAATGATGTTCTCATGCCAAGATGCATGCTCCTGTTGTTTTTCATTTTTTATTTTTTTAAAAAAGTGTGTGTTTGTTTTTAACTTCCTCTGATGATGAAGCCATATAATACCTTTGATTTTTTTTTTTAACACCTGGTGGGCTAGCCTGTGTTGCAGCAACAACCAAAGGAGCTTGTGACAACTTACAGACTGAACATAGCCTCTGCTTTTGTGGTTTAGAGTGGTGGTCTTCAGCCCAAGGGCTGAGACCCTCAGATGGGTCATGGAGCCCCTCCTGCTGAGCCTCGAGGTTCTGTAGAGCTACTTCACCCCACACCCCTTTTGCTACATTCTTGGAAGGGACTGCTACATAGAGAGCAAGGGTGTCATAGCTACTGCCTCACTTTGCATACATGTTGCAATGAACAGCACAAGGTGGCAAGGTGGAATCACCATCACACAGGTTTTGAAAGGATTCCTTTGTGACTCTGACCCTTTACTGGTTCCTCAC